TCCTTTCCCTTTCCCTTTCCCCCTCCCGCCGGGGCGGGGGGACCCCCGGAGACCCTCCCTTACTCTCCCCTCAGAGCCTCCCTGCCCGCTCCCTCGGGGGGCGCCGGGGAAGGAGACGGCCCCCTCCTCCTCAGCCGTAGTTTCCAGACCCCCCGACGGGCGAGGGGGGGTCTGCTTCCCGCCCCCCTCCCCCCCCGGCCGGCGGTAAAGAGAAGAGCAGTCTCCGTGGGGAGGAGTGGGGGGGACACGCACCGCGGGTACCTGCGGGGTAGGGAGGGGGCGGGCGGCTGAGCAAACCGAGGGGGGGCCGCGTCCCGCCAGCCGCGCCCCGTCCACGGCAGCGCAGGCCGCCCACCGGTGTCAAAGACGGTGTCAACGACACCAATGTCTTTGACGGTGAAGGTTGTAGATGGTGGGGAAAAAAAGGTGTTAGGGCAGGAGCAGGGTGACTCCGGTGTGGCTTACGGTCACCCAGGAACGTGGGGTTCACCGTGAGTGAAGGGGGTCTGCACATCAACTTCGCTGGAGCCATCATACCCCCTGCGGGTGTGCACAGTCTGGTAACTGGCCACCCAGATAAATAAATAAATAAATAGATGTATTCAAAGAGCTTGTTTTCACAAATATATATAAAAATGCACTTAGATATATTCTCACAGTGTATTTTCACCAGTAACGCACAAGTGGGGTAGCCGTTCTATGTAATTCAGCCTCACAATGTCCCTGCAAAGCAGTTTTAGGCCGATGTGGTTCAGTCGAGGCATTTTCACATCACAGAATCACAGAATGGTTAGAGTTGGAAGGGACCTTAAAGACCATCGAGTTCCAACCCCCCTGCCATGGGCAGGGACACCTCCCACCAGACCAGGTTGCTCCGAGCCCCCTCCAACCTGGCCTTGAACCCCTCCAGGGATGGGGCAGCATTGAACTCTTCTGCGAATGGCAGTAACTACTCAGCAGAGGACCATCATAACATGCTGCTCAGCTGTTTAAACCTTTATTTCCGACAATTTGCAAGCAATGTGTTGCCACTCCAACCTGTGTTTGTGCTCCCACCCACTGGGAGTACCCTACAGGTCCACTGGAGAAGAGGGTGTCATTGCTGTGATAGTGACGAGCTGTTTAAGGAAGGGCGGGCAGAAAAACATAGGAAATAAAGCTTTACTTATCCCTCAGAAACAAAATTCTGGGGAAATGTGTTCATCATCTGCTTGTACAGATGGGTCAACTAAACAATATGCTTATGAGTAGCAAGATCGCTATTGTAGATAACATTACTGGCAGAGCTATTTCAGTTGGAGGACTTTTTCATCAACAAAAGCATTTTCTTATTATAAACACAATGCCTACATTTAGCTGATTTTCTGTTTTACTTATGTGCCAGAATCTTTTTTACAGTATAGAATAGATTTTAAATGTCAGAGACACTAATACAAGCTGGAGTTCTGGTGGTGTAACAGATAGTTTATATTCCTTCCTTCCCCTCCAGATTTAAATACGTTAGAGCTTCCCTACATAAACCCCCAATTATCTGAAATTTTTATTATTACAATAATTATAAAATTATTATTGTCATCATCATCGTACTAGTTAAAAGGGAAATTAACACTGAAAACTGTGCCTGCACACCAGTATATTGATCTTATGTTGATGTAATTAGACCACAGAGTTTCAGAGGATTAATCACTTTGATGAGCAGTGTTTATCAATCCAGATTCATGGGTTTTGCTTAAATTCTCTTTTTTGGGCAATAATATTAACACAAGAAAATATTTTTAAAATACTATGAATGAATTTAAATAAATTGTAATACTATTTCAAATGCAAATATGTTAATAATGGCCATAGATCCTTCTCTGGACACTGCTACTGAATAAAAAAAAAAACTTCTTAAACTGTTTTCTTTTTTTCCCCCTAAAGTCTTTAATTTGAAGCAATTCTTTCTCTTCCCTAGTGGGACAGATTAATTTGTATATAAAAGGTATCAGCTGGCATATGTGCCAGAAAGTAACAAACAAAGCAAACAAAACTCAGATCATCTTACATAAAACACAGTATGTGTTTATTGAAAATTTTCAAGAGAAAGAAGCAAAATATATATTTTCATTGTTAAGCAAAAAACTGAAGTGGTAACGACAAAACACTTTAACATGTCATTAATCAACAGCCCCAGCTCACATCACGTTCTCTAACAAGATTTTTACACCCTCTTCCACCCGTAGGTCTCTATGCATCCTCCTCCAGAAGCACATTTTAGTGAAGATGCGTCAGACTGCTGTAAAGAGAGATACCAGCCTTCTCGCTTCTCTGAACTAGCACAACTGTACCAGAAGCACTTGGAACAGAGACCACTGCTTCAGCTGGCACCTCCGTCCTTGAAAGCAATCAAGAACTTTTTTGGTGTAAGTAGGTAAAATTAATAACCTACGTCAGGCCACCATCAGAAATTATTATGCAAGTTCTCAGCAAAGCAGCAGTTCTTGCCCTAGCAAAAAAAAAAAGACAGCTGGCAATTTTAATTTCCATGCTTCTTCGATCTGAGTCCAAAAGTAGAAACATTTACATTACTGATGAATACGGCACAAGCAATAAGACCTTTTTATAACAAATATAAATGGACATTTGATGGCACGCGGTATTTCTCTTGGTCTAACAAAGTTCTGCCTGACCCAAAACTAGATTCTCTCCTGCTTTATTAAAACAATACTGAATTTTACTAGATGGGATTAAGGCTGCTATCTTGGACACTACAGAAAGGGGACTTGTTTCTCTTTTTTGTGTAGCTTTTACTATGTATCTTTCAGTCAAGAAGTTAAAAGTAGAAACATTTACATTACTGATGAATATGGCACAAGCAATACCTTTACACAGACCTTTTTATAACAAATATAAATGGACATTTGATGGCACGCGGTATTTCTCTTGGTCTAACAAAGTTCTGCCTGACCCAAAACTAGATTCTCTCCTGCTTTATTAAAACAATACTGAATTTTACTAGATGGGATTAAGGCTGTTATTTTGGAGACTACAGAAAGGGGACTTGTTTCTCTTTTTTGTGTAGCTTTTACTATGTATCTTTCAGTCAAGAAGTTACATACTGCTTCGAGACCCTGCGATTTTGTTACCCAATAGATTGTAAGTGATCTTTAGGAACAATCAAATGCAACCACATTGTAGTATGCAAATAAGCATAACTCATAGCACCCAAAGCCGGTCCCAAAATAGTAACATACCAGCTTGAAAAAAAAATGAGTAACAGTTGCTTAAGCAATCGAAAACAGCAGAGAGGACTTGATACAGTTAGGTGCTTCCAGTCTTCCCACTCTCCTTCCAAGGGAAAAAAAAGCAAAAAAAATACCCCAACCAAACAGCAGAGAGGACTTGATACAGTTAGGTGTTTCCAGTCTTCCCACTCTCCTTCCAAAGGAAAAAAAAAGCAAACAAAATATCCCAAACCAATCACAGAAATAATAAAAAAAAAACAACAAACCAACCCTACAATCCTCTAATCCTCTAATCTGCAGACTCCCTTTCTGCATCACCCCCAGGCACTGAGCTGCCACGCACCCCAATTCAGACCGGGGACCCACCGGGAGGAAGGCCTGAGGCAGGTGTGTCTGTGCCACCGGCTCCACCAACGGGGTTGGGGGGCGAGGGGCTGACACCCCGCTTCTTCCTCAGCTGGGAGAGCACCTTCCAGAAACGAAACGGCACCTGCAGCCACCCCTAAACCCGTCTCTCATGGCTCTAAGGATGACTGTGAGCGAAGGATGACTGTTTCTCTGAACCTGCCTCAGGCTGAGGGAAACCCCCCCACACACACAACCTGTGGCCCACCCGGGAGGCGCCCAGAGGCCCGGGCAGGCCAACCCCTCCGTGCAAGCAGAACGCATAAATGAGTTTAGTTCTTCCATCCCATCAGCCAGGCGGCTCAAACCCTAATCTGAGCCCGCTAATTACGGCACGCTCGGCCGACAGCGAAGTGGCGGAGACCCCTCTCCCGCACAGGGGCGTGAGGAGGGAGAAGGCCCCAGGGAGTGGGGGGGGAGAGAAGGGGGGGAGAGAAGCGGCCGGGCTGCCCAGCAAGGCGGCTGAGGGCAGAGGAAGCGGGGCGCCACCCCCGGCGAAGGGCAGCCCCCCAGAATACTCACCGGACATCCTGCGGGGGGCCAGCCGGGCAGGGGCACGGCCCACGGCCCAGGCCCGGGGCGCACACCTCCGCCTCACCTAACCCGCGGCGGGCCCGGTAAATGGCGCAATGGGATTAGCCTCTTTCCTGCTGAAGCCGGCGGTAGGTGAATTATACCCGCCGGGACTCCTGCGCAGCGGCAGAGACACGGCATTAGCGGCAGAGACCATCGGGCACGACCCACCCCACGCCCACGCTCCCGGCACTGCCTTTACAAGGGAGGG